GAAAGAAAATTTTCGAGGGAATATTCCGTCGGAAGCAATATATTCCGAGGGATAAAAAATCTGTCGGAATATTTTTGAGGGATTTTCAGTCGCAACATAAATTTTCCGACGGATTTTTTTGACAGACCAAAATTCCGTCGGAATATTCCAACTGAATTTAAGTCCGTCGGAACAAATCCGTCGGAAAACCGCCTATTTCTAGTAGTGATATTAACTATTATAGCAAAAGCACTGCAACCCAAACATACTGTTTCAGAAGGTTACATCAGAAGTTAACTTGTACCAAGTTCCCAAACATACCGTCTCACCAAAAAAACTTAACCAATTGTCTAATCAAACAGCACCAAACTTTGGTTTATATATACATCAAAAAGCATCTGCATATCTCAAAATTACATCATTGTCTCAGCTCTGGGTCTGTGACAGGTCTTGTGGCTGACTTGACAGTTGTGAGCTTGTGAGCTCAGTTGCAGACCCTTCAAGGCATGATTTTGCTCTTGCTTCCTTTGCAGCATTTGTCTGATCTCTCACTCTTGGGTTGTGTATCACAAGTGCTTCTCCAACCCTTAGCTCTTTTCCTGTCAGCCCTCCTTTGCAAGTTTTTTTGTTATGTCCAAAACAACCACAGCTTGAGCATCTCACAGTTTTGGCTGGTCCTCTCCTTCTTCCCTTTTCCTGTTTCTGCTAGGTCTACCAACCCCCCTTTTCATCTTTGGTGGGTGAACATGAGGAGGGTTCTCAACAGTAGATTCAGGCCACTAACTAAGATCTGGGATAGGAGTTATGCAATGACTGTACACCTTTTTGTAGGTCTGTGCAGAATACCAGGAACTGACATAATTGTGAGGGTCAACTTTTGCATGAGTCATTGCCCTTATAGCATGTCTGCAAGGTATGCCAGACAATTGCCAAGCTCCACATGAGCAAATCTTACTATTTAAGCTTAGAGGGAACTGTGATTTACCCTCATGAATCTCATATTCCCCTGGGCTTGACTGGAAAGCTCTACAGGTTGTAGAAGCTTTGCTGATCTCTCTGACCAATCTTGCTATCTTGGGGCAGAGTTCATCATTATTCAAGTCCATTGCAGCCTCATGCCTTGAAGCTATCCTGACCATGCACACTCTTCTTATACCTATCACAACATAACAATCAAATTAATAATGTAATCGATCAAAACTAGTGTGAAATGCAAATGAGCTTGATCATTACCTTCTAGTAAAGTCAATACTGGCCTGCATCTGTCAGGTCCACGTGTTGAGTTAAAACTCTCAACAAAGTTTGAAGTGTTTGAGTCATTGCACACATTTGGATCAAATCTGTGTTTACTCCACTTTGATTGATGGCCTAAAGCTGCAAACCATGTCATGACATCCTCCCCACCTTCCTTTTGAAGTCTCTCCATTGCCTTTCTGAATGTGAATTTGTTAGTAGCATTGCAAGCTCTCCAAAAAAGGGTGTACATGAGTGGACCTGGGAAAGCTTTCTTGTAATTTCTACTCAAGTGTCTGCAACAATACCTTCTCTTAGCTTCAGGCCAAACAGTTTTCAATGCAACATCAACACCCTACAACAATCACATTTATCAATGTATGCCATGAAGATGTAAGTAAATATAACAATTAAGAAATGAAAAAAGGAAAAATATACACACATTCTGCCTGTCAGAGATGATTGTCTAGTCTTTCCTCCCTGAATCTTTGATTATGTTATGGATGTGCCAGAAAAAATAACTCCAAGTATCTTTGTCTTCACTGCTAACAACTGCATATGCAACTGGGTATATCTCATTGTTACCATCCAAGACAACATCAGATAGTAAAATTCCACCATAATTGCCCTTGAAATGAGCACCATCAACTCCAATCAATGGCCTACAGCCTGCTAGGAAGCCTTGCCACTGTCCAGCAAATGAGATGAATATGCTGCTGAACAAATTAACCCTTGGAATGGTTTCACTCTCATGCCATGCCACAAAAGCCTTAGAACCTGGGTTGGTGCTCATTATAACTTCAGCATATCTAGGTAAGTGGTTGTATGACTCATAATGGCCTCCAAATATCTCTTGAACAACATATCTCTTCAACCTATATAAGGTGGCTTGCTTCTAGTAAATGCCAAACCTCTGAAATAGAAGCTCATTCAGGGTCTTTCCTGGAATGTCTAGATTTGCCCTTATATCTTCCATTACCTTTGGAGAAGCTCATTTAACTTTATAAATTGGGTTATACATTTCTAACCCCCTGCAGTTATGCACATCTGGCCAAATCTTCTTTATAGCCCAAGTCTTTCCATCTGGCAGCCTACTAGCATGCAACCTCCACTCACAACATTGGGCCAAGCAAGTTACAGTGTACCTCTTGCTGTCTGCAGCCACCACAGTAATTGTAAAGCCTTTCGGAACTGCATAATCTTTCAAGGTCTCTCTCAAATAGGCCTTGTCAATAAATATCATCCATGATCTAAGAACTATCTTCCCAAATTTGACTTCTTCATACATCTCCCCTTGCTTATAAAGCTTATCAATATAATTCTAATCATCAGAATCATCAATAAAAGCTGACCAAAAGGAAGGTTCCCAGTTGTCTTCTATGTGGGGAATAGAGGTTACATCATGCAACTCATCCTCAGGAATATCACCATCAGGGATTACTTCTTCATCTGAGTCTACTGGTTCTTCATCATACACACCAACCTCATAATCACCATCAGAAGAATCATCACCACCAGATTCATCACTAGAATCAGCACCAGACCCATCACCAGAACCATCAATAGAACCATTAGGATCACCACCAACACCAACCAAACCATATGTAACCCTCCTTCTAACACTAGGTGCACTACTCTCCCCTAGCTTTATGTGTCCTGTAACATGTTTAGGCACTCTCCCTTTCTGACCAGTCCATATACCCTTCCTAATTTGAGTAGTCTTAGGAATTTTTCTAGCAAATATGTTAGGGTTAGTGATAGTATTTGATGGTTGGCTGTTTGGACTTAATCTGGGAAGGGGGGTAGTCTGATTAGCTGTGACTTGGGCTGGTGAAAACCTAGGACTTCTTCTCACAACAAGTGTTTTGAAGACAGTGTGTGGTGATTCAGGTGAAGGAGGTAACTTCTCACTCCCAGACCCAACTGACTCCAACTGTTTGGACTTGCCCTTACCCTTCCCACCACTAGAACCAGCCTTGCCCTTACCCTGAGTCTTTTCATAGTATTTCTCAAACTTCTTCCTACCCTTACTATATTCTTTTGTAGACTGCTTACTAACACTCTCTTCATATATTTCCTGCATATCAGCAAAGGTTGCTTCTAGGTCATGATTAAATTCAGTCCTAAATATCTCATGTAATGCAGGGCTACTAGGAGTAACCACACTGCTAGGGACACCAGCATCCTCAGAGTGCTTCAATCTCAATCTCCTCCTAGGCTTAAGTTTGGTGTTCTCATTCCCTGTCTCAGAAGGAGTGGTATTTTCTACAGAAGGCTGGGAATTCTCAATCACAGTCAATGGTAAGGATGGTTGGTTTTAAGGTGGTGATCCTAATGGTTCTTCATGCAGAGGTGGTGATTCAGGTTCTTCAAGTACACCCTGGCTAGCTAATTCAGTAGCTAATTTGTTCCTCCTAAACTCAGATACTAAGTCATTCATAAAAGTTGAATTTAAAGTAGTCCTAACCAAAATCTCATACATCTTGGCATCAGGGAGTGTCCTGAACATTCTAATCAGACCACCATCATCATCTATTGGACAATGTTTGCCCCTATATGCATAAGCAAGTATAGGGTTCAAAATAACTACTCCCTTCTTTTGTAAAATATCTTCAAATTCTATCATTAAGTCCATCAAGTTGCACTTATCACAGTCCACATTAATATCAACAATATGCTTCTTATACTTAAATCTCAGTGTAACCGTGTCATCCATTCTGCAAAGTAAATTACACTACCACGATTTAAGCACAACATAATTCACAAAGTAAAGAACACATATTTAAACCTAGATTAAGCATACAACCACCAACACATCAACACTATAGCATGCAAACTCAAACTCAACAATTTTGAATTATGTAAGTTACAAAGTACAAAATTTAGCACGCATACATAATCATTGGCAAATCGAACATAAATCAAGGCTAAATCAAACAACATAACAGCATAATTCAACATAATTCAACCACTGAGAAGAATCTAAAACCTAGCAAATTAAAGCGAATTCAAAAATTACAACAACAAATAAGCACTAACCTTTAACAATCCACAAAGCAGGCCTGAATCTCCAAGAAATTTGCTTCAGAAGCGCGACAATTAGGGTTTGAGGAAGAATAAGAACAGGGGAGAGAATAAGGGAGATGAACGATCATAAATTTGGAGTAAATGTTGTCAGTTGAGCTTGGAGGGAGAATTAAAGAGTTGGTGGGCATTTTTGTCAAGTCAAGTCTAAGCATAAACCTTGTCATTAACCCTAATTTAACTTTTTATTAACGGCGTACTTACTGTAGTAATTAGGTGAAAATTACGAAGGTACCGCTGATAATGAAAATTTAATGATGAGTATCAAAGATAAAAACCAAAAGTTAGAGGGTATCAGTGATAATTACCCTAAAATATATGATGATCACCTTATAACAACAATTACAAAATAACCGCTATTATATGTGTTGTTAATATAGCGTTTACACAGAAACCGCTATTAAAAGATTGACTTATTAAAAAAAAAAATCACCCTTAGCCCACTACTACTCAGTTGGTTCCCCATAGCAAAAATGAACGCTGTGTTCATCTTCCCACTTTACTCATCTACTCACCACAATACGCAATTCTGGTGAGATTTCCCCAAAAGCAATTTTACAAACTCGATTTCAATGCAATTTACGGGTTGACATCTCAAAATTTATGGTGCTATTTTTCACAAGCTCCAATTAATTGGACATTAATCTTCAATTTAAGGTTTGTTTCTCATTAAAACTGATTTTCTTTTTATGTTGATGTGTTGGGTTTTTTACTCATGCTTTTTATTAATGAAATTGTGTTGTTTGAATTGGTTTTGTCGGGATTGAATTGCGTTCAATTATTTGTTCTTGATTAGGGTTTCATTGGATTCCTTTTCTGAATTCGATTACCTAGGTTTAATTTTGATTAGTTTATGAAGATTTAGTTTTGATAATTGGTGGCTGAATTTTGTAATTTCTTAATTACATTGGGGTATTCTTGCTTAATTAAATCCGTGAATACCATGTGTCGTGGTTGTATTCTTGCTCAGTTGGATTGTCAGAAAGTCGAACTTTTAATTGTTTTTTTTTTTTTTTTTGGAAATTGTTTATCTAATTTTGGTAGTTAAGTTGATATTTCATTGAGTTATTAATTATTTTTCTTGTAAATTAGTTGTGATTTTGGTGGTTAAGTTGATATTTTAGTGTTTATCTAAATTAATATAGTCACTAGAGTAATACTTCTTCGTAGTATACAAATCTTTAAAATGACAAGTATTTCAATTCATAAGGAGAATTCCTATATGTACAAGTATACTTCCTTTACAGATCATTAGTAGAGAGAATATAAAAACATTAATCAATAGGTTAGATAGGTAGAGAAAGATTGATGATCACATGCAGCAGTATTCGTTAATGAAAGGTTATCTAAGATGAATTGAAGCCCTCTTTTCTCTGTAACCTCCATATTTAGAACTACATTTGAATACAGTAGTGGGCCCTAAATTAGTATATGAAAATATTTCATTTTTTTTAAAAAAATTTTCCACTAACAATTATCTTAAAAATATTGTATATGTGATCTGACTTTTATGCAAATAACCAGGTTACTCAAGCAAAACTCATAAGTTCTTTTTTTATCTATAGTTTAGAGTCTCTGCAATGGCTCTACTTTATAAAGTCATAAACTTAATTTTATGCAAATCAGTTTTTCGTTTCTACTGCTTCTCCTTTCTGCTATTCCCCCCTTCTGCTGCCCCCCCTACTATCTTACCTTGCTAGTACTTCCCCCTACTTAAACCCTCCTGATGTTAGCTATTTCTTCTTGGTTGCCTGTTGTTTGCTACGTTCTGTTGTTTTCACATGTTGCGTTCTGCTGCTGTCACTCCCACCACGTAACTGGAATCCGGCTGCTTTGTCAACTTCGGCATATTATAAGGTTTTATCTATCCTTTTTAAAGCCCTATACTATATATTTGAAGCTCTGATTTAGGGTTTGTTTTGTTGCAATTTTGCTTTGCTGGCTTGGATTTCAATTTAGAGTAATTGCTGTTATTTTCTAGTGAATTATATTAGAATGGATAATTTTCAAAGTTAGATATGGGAGAATAACTACATTTTTCTTGGAATTTCTTTGTATACTGGAATTTCTTTGGCTTGTTGATAGCTGTTGTTATACCCTTGCTGCTATGACCTCTAGCTCTCTTTGTTGATGTCTTGGTGTACTACTGTTAGCCTGCTGCTTTATTTTGTTGTTGTTGTTATTGCTCCTTGCTTCTATGTTATATGTTGCCTCCTTTCTACTGATCCCTTGCTGCTGCCCCCCCTTTTGCTGTTCTCCTATGCTTCCCCCCTTTTCTACTGCCCCTTAGCTTCTCCCCCCTGCTGCCACGTGGCTGTTTTTTTGCTGATGTGTCAGGCCACCTGGCAGTGTGACATAGCTATTGTGTGTTGGTCCATATGTGTGTGCGTGGTTCGGTTTGTATGCAATGTTGTCGAGTTGTTGAAATAATTAATTGATTTATTGAATTATCAAATTTCTATATATTTACTTTGTTTTGTTTGTGTATTGTTATCTTGTAACTACTCTTTTATTTTTATTTTGCAGTACTTTTCAGATTGCTGGTGTCCAAGTTATGATCAAATTCAAATTGATGAAGTAAGAATTTAGTAGGTGCGTTATGTAGTCCAACACATGTAGATAGACCCAAGGAATTAACAAATTTATGTGTTTTTGTGTATTTCGATTTTTCGTCTTTTTCTTAGAACACATTTCTGTAGATAGTTAGATTTATTATGACCTTGTATAACTCTTTGTTAGATCTTCAATATTAACACAAAATTACCATTGTTTTATATATAATTTATTGTAAAATTTTTGATGTTTTATAAAACATGTATTAGGTTGTGATAGAAGAAAATATATATCACAGGAAAAATAAATATTGTTATTACGGGTAATAAATATTCCAAAAACAAAAAATTAGAAATTAACTTTATTAGCGGTTTCAAAATATCGCCATTAAATGTTTTTTTTTTTTTAAATTTGGCGGTAATAGAATTAAGCATAACATTTACAGCGGTTTTAATATGCTGTAATTGAGATTTTTCATGGAACCCTAGAAGCACATTTTATTGCGGTTATATAAACCGCTGTAAAAAGCTCATGTTGGCTTTTACAGCGGAGCGATTAATAGCGAAAACCGCTGTAAAAAGCTTTTTTGACCGCTAGAAAGCATTATTTGTTGTAGTAATAATATTATCAATTATCTTATTAGGCGTGATT